AATCTGTCTGCTAGATGCAGACAAATACCAGCCTGAAATCACCTGTTCCGTAGCTGAATGAGCTGAGATCAGTAGAACATGGGGATGATTACATCATCTCTCCGAAATGGCGGCTGCTGTCCTCCTCTGTGGTCCGACCGGTGTCTGGAACCAAGCTGGACCGCTTCTCTCCTCTGTCTCAAAGCCGGAACTCAGCACTAAGCGCTGCCAATGTACCACTGGCGGGAGCCCCCCAAATCCGTATCGCTGCTCCCCCGCTCTGGCACCTTGCCGCTCCCCAGCTCGCGCCACAGACTCCAGCCGCGGGGCAATCGCCTATCAGGCTATGCGACCCTCCGTGCAGAGAAATGGAGCTTCCACAGCCGAACCTTGCACGATGGAAATCTGTCCACTAGATTCTGGAGCACCTCAATTTCACTGGAAATTCCCAACAAGATAGCCTTCAGCCGTTTCACGTCGTCTTTCTCCGGCTCAGTGACGCCTCTCACTGGGGTGATGCACTCCCTTCGCCGCCATCTTCTCTCTCCTGCTGGTTTCTTGATGCTCCATCCCCTGCAAAGCCTGGGAGGGCCTGAACCTAATCCAAAATCATTTTAAGTGCTAGCTTCCTAGCATTTTTACACACTTACATTTATTATAAATAAAATTAAAGAGAGCCTAACTTATAACAATGTATTTTGTATCCTAGTTACTTTTTGCTTTTTTTTATTCTTGATTTTCTGTCTGATAACATATATTATGCTGTACTTTACTTTTTCTGTCCAGTATTTAAAGTACAGAGAACCCTTTTTGGTTACTCTAATGTAGTATTTCTCAAAAGAATGTCTCTTCTTCTCCAAATAAGACTTAGATTTCTTAAGTTTCGATTATGTTGGCAGTTGCCTAACTTTCCTCCAGTAATAACAGCAATCAGAGGGCTGGGGTATGGTTCAGTGGTAGAGCAGTTGCCTACATGTGTGAGGCACTGGGTTCTATCCTCAGCACCACATAAAAAATAAATAAAATAAAGACATGTTGTCCATTTACAAGTACAAAAACTAAAAAAATAAAAATAAATTTTAAAAGATAACAACAATCAGATCCAATTCCTTTCTGTATTTTCTTAGGTGAACAGAAAAAAAATAAGTTTCAGTCTAGTTCCCTCCTATCCCCAGTTTTCTTTAAATAATATTTATTTAGCTCTTAGATTAGCAGACACCATATTTGGCAGTGGAGAAGCATATCTGAAAGAAACAACCTTATTTAGGTGTTTTATCTAAATAAGGAGAATTTATGAGTCACTTGCTTATATTACCTTGAGGGCTAGAACTACCTGTGAATATGTTAATAATAAACATGTAAATGTATCATTCAAGTGCCACCCTCTTACACAATTTGATCACTCCTCTTGGGTTGTTACTTTGCTTTTATCTAAACATAAACAAATTTTGAGGAAGGGAAGGAAATGATAAATTCATTAAATGCCTCTAGTGTCCATGATTTAATTTATCTTTTGCAGATTAAATACAGCACAATAGCAAATGAATATTTAATTAGAATAGTGATTTTGAGTTTATTTTTTCTAAAAGCTCTGAATTCACTGGAGTAAGTAGCTTTGATAAATAAGAGGATGACTATTAGTAGAAATTATTACAAAGGCCTTTTTTACTCATTTCTCCAGTTTGAATTAAAAGCTCTTTTGGAAACACATTTAAGTGAAGGTCCATGCTGGAATCATAGTCTTCATTTAATCAAGATAGTTTGTCTTACATTCACCCACTCATTTATTCAGGTGGTCTCCAACTCTAAAGGGAAGAATAATTACATGAGGGTGAGATTAAAATGTGGATTCTGAATCAGTTGGTCTTGGATCTAAACAGCTTTTCTGTAGGGGTACCTAGCTCTTCAGTGATGCTGCTCTTGTTCTTCCAGGGAACATACTCTGAAGAACAAAGCCCTAAAGACTCCCATTAAGAGTTACAAAACATAAACTTAGTTTCAGTTATCCTTACAAAGCTGATGACATAAAGCAAATCATGTGGATTCTCAACAAAGTCTTTATCATTTATAAAGAAAAAGTATTGAGTTATTGTTTTGTGATTCCACATTTATATATACAAATGTTATTAGGAAACTAATGATAATTGAGATAGTATCAGATATTGTTTTCAAATTCATACAAATGGTAGCATCTCCTAGTTTCTCACTCTTAGTTTTCTGATGGTGAGTTTAATTTTTCTTCATATTTCCATGCAAGCAACAGAACCTGAACCCATATTTACAGAGCATCCAACCTGAAAATAAGAGAAATCATGCCGAGCCATTTTATATGATACCTGGAGAAATTTTGTAAATTAGACTGCTATTACTTTAAAGGATTTTATATTTTTCATACTGTACCAATAGTTTTCTATTTTATTCATTTTTGATACCTTTTTCCCACAGCCCTTTTTTCTGAATTTAAACAACCCTTGACCAAGTGATAACAGCCCCTTTAGGCAAAGTGATTCTTCACAGCAGTCTTGTAATGATGCCAGCTGTGATTTCATTTATATTGAATCACTATAATTCCTGAAACAATTTATAAAGTTGTTTTTTACAACCCTGATTTAAACTTCTATTTCCATGGAAGTGAAAAACAAAAGGGGGGTATATGGAGATCACATGCATCTTTACTTCTCTATTTTTTTATTTTTGCAACTCAAGTAGGGCCTGTGGATGTAAACTTATTGGCATGCCTTTATTGACTAGCAGAAACATCTTTCTAAAAGCAATGTAATTAAAAATATGAACATGCTTGCTTTCAGGTGTAATGCTCATCTCACTGCCTTCCTCAGCCTACATGAAAATGTTTGGGCAGGATAAACAGGTGCACACAGGCATAGGACCAAATCTACTCTAAAACACAAGTGACCAATGTACTTTTGCAGATTTAGGCCAACTGGTAGCTTTTTATTGACTACAGATGGTTACTGACTACACAATAAAAAGCTTCTGGTTGACTGAGCACATTCTTAAATAACCCTAAAAGGTTTCCTGTTCCCCAATGCCTGGGAATACCAATTTTTACTCAAAGGGCAGGGTAAATTTGAGTCCAATTGATAGTTTTACAGCCCAGATGTGTATGCCCTTGAAGCCAACAATGAGCTCAGGCCTCATTTCTAACCTTGGACTGATTTCAATATTTTAAGAACCTGAGGAATGAGCCAATTTCAGCCCACTCATCTTTACTTCCCAAATTTGTAAATGTACACTCCTGGAGCACATTTGAAAGCATTAAAGGTGGTCTATAGTCTAAGTACCTCTGTAAATTATGTCATCTTTGGTGATTTTCTTACAGTAGTTCTGAATGAGAAGGTGAGTCACAAAAGATGGTAAATGTGTTCTATGTGTCAGTTTGATCTATATATTATTTTGCTACTTGATGTGGGGGTCATACAAATGTACACATGCATACCCATGAGTATGTAAAGTTTGGTCTCCAGTGTTTTGTCAAGATGGGAATTTACATGAAAAACACACAACAGGGAAGAATCGATGGAAACTATAAGAACCATATGAATAATACCACTAAAAATTCCAAAATTGTGTGGGTTACACTCATCATCATATGAGAATGGTGACAAATAGAGTCTACTGGAAGTAAACATGGCACATTCTGCAACAAGATAGTAATGTAACGTGGTCACAGCACTTGTGAATATACAATCTGTTTCCAGGCCATATTCCCAATCTGTGATTTACTGAGACCTTGGTGGATTCACTGACCACCCTATTGTATGTGGTTTTACTAACATCTGTATGGTGAAGAGCATGGATACAGTGACTTCTAAACTCTTGTAGATTCTAAAATTCTGTAATAATTTTAAAACATTCGAGGAAAATTGGAAACACTCTTACTATTTACTGTTCCTCTTCAAATCTCCACTTTCTATGTACATTCCCTTTTTAGCATTTTACCAATATTGAGATCTATTTACTTATTTATTTATTTATCTATTTATTTATTTATTTATTTATTTAGTGTTCCAAATTATCAGTGTGGATGTTCAATGAGAACCAGCCTTTGTTTAATTCACTGTTACATATTGAGAGATTGCAATATTGTCATATGTACATACTTAATAAATATTCAATTAATGGATAATGATACAATGAAATGAATAAAAATATACATAAAATAAAACAAAGAGTAATCATTTTTTTATCCTGAAGGACTTATGCAAATTCTAAAAATTTTCTCTTATACAATTTGATTTGCATCTAGTTAAAAAAAGAAAAACGACTATTTAAGACTCAAAGGGTGTGCATCAGACAGGGTGATCTGTCCTATTCAGCACCAGGATTTCTATTGTCCTGATAAGCTTACAAAGAAGTTGATAGAAACATAACTGCAAATTCATACTCTAATAAATCCTGCTTTCCAAAATAACATAGTGGGAGGAATAATTTTTTCTTAGCTTTTGGGAAGTAGACTATATGGTTTTATTAATAAATATCTTTTTTATAGAATAATAATTTTACAAGATAAAATGTTTAATAGTGGAATAATTTAATGAAATGACTAGAAATACTGTAAGACTTCAAACAATTGATTTTTAAATTTGAAAAATAGTCTTATAACCCATTTTTTTACAGAATAGTTTCTACATTAAGGAACATTATTTAGAAATAATTAAAGACCTTAAAATAGAATTAAATGTAAATGGAAATTATGTCAAAAATATAGAAATAAGCAGCTGATAGAAATTAATATTAAATCAATAAATGTAAAGAAATAAATTTTAGATTTTTTTATTGCTTAACCATTTCTTTGTATTTTTATTGAGTTTTTTTTTTTGTATTATTATTTTTTTAAATTTCTGCCCAAATACCACAGTGAACTGAGAAACCACAATTACAATTCACAGACTCTGGCATGAAAAACATCACACACTCCATCAGGAATCACACCAAACCCTTTCCTCTTTATTCATTCAAAAGAGAGTCCAATGCACAAGTGTCAAATATGAGCACTGTCATTTTTTTCTTAGAAGGGGAAAAACATTTATTCTGGCAGCACTTTTACAATTCCAGGAAGTGGCTCTGATACCACAAGTTGCAGGAATAGAAACCATAACAAACTTGGAGGGCATTTCTTTGAGAAGCCAGGGACTCCGTGGTTGGAAAAAAAATTCTTCTTGTGCTTAGTGAATTGCCTATCAGCCTCTGTGGGCCGCTGAAATCTTCCTGGGTGTTGAAAGAGAAAACGGAATTTCCTACACAGACATTGTGGAAAACTCCTGTAGAGCAGAGTGTTTTCTGTATCTCCAACCCACACCCCATGCTGAAGCAAGTTCTCATGCTTTGCTTTTTCTGGAGCTTCTTGTGGTCACATGACCCTCTTCTCATGTGGACCTTTTGGCCGAAACACACATGGCAGCAAGGTTTCCTCTTACACTGCTTCTCTAGGGTTCAGATGACAGCACAAAACATGACTGGTCAAAAAAGAGCAGATATTGAGAACATGGGCATTTATGTTCGTGAAAATAGCAAACACTTGGAGAGTATGTCACCCAAAGGGGCATTATTTCCATTTATATGGCCCTAAGGGAAGTTGGCCCAAAGTCATATGCTTGGGAGTCTCTTTCAAAGGACTGGTCAAGTCGGTTGATTAGACAGTGTAAGTACTGTCACATGCCAATTAAAAAAAAACCCCTATTGCCCAACAATTCAATGGTCCATAAAGCAATTAAATGTTACCATTCAGTTTATACACACACACACACACACACACACACACACACACACACACGAACTGTGACAAAAGGATTAACCAGATTAATCTTATGATTCTGTTCTAAAAGGAAAATGAAATCTCCAACTTGAAGTGTCATATATTCAAGTATTTAAAAAAAATGTAAAAACAATCTGATCCCACTGTTGATTTTAAGATGATAAGGAAATCATAACCAGGGCTTCTGGAGTCAGTGAAGTTAACTCCTGGGGCACAAAATATTTTATAAAAATTGATTTGTGAGGTTGTGAAATGCAGCCCACTTGTTCATTCTTTCTTTTGAACATGTGGAGACCACTGTGGCATTCCAAGAGTCAGTGCTTTCTAAACAAAGTGAAAGAGTAACACCAGCTGACTCGCTCTTCTGTCTGACCCTGGTGAGAAACAGTTTTGCACATTTTCTATCAACACACAAAGGAGGCAGATGTAAACAGAGTCCTTTACATTCTTCAAAGAATGTGCTACTACTGCAGCATATGCTGTTTGGCCCCAATTAGGAGAGGCTAGAGAGCAACTTGTAGGGTTTGCTTTTTAAGTTTTACCTCCTGGAGATTTTAAAACAAGCGTTTTACTAGTTCTTGGCAGTAGATGTCCTACAAGAGGCTCTGTATGAATAGCCAGTGTGGGATTATGTTCTCCAGCTAGGAGCTCACTACCTGAAGGTCCCACAGACCAGATGTGGAGGGCTCACCAAGTGCTCTGCTAAATTCTGGACCTGTTCTAGAAAAGAGAGGTAATAATTAGCAGAGCCCCTTGCATGATTCAAAACGGACTCCTGATGATCTTAAGCTACACTAACTGAGGTTTTCCATGAACTCTTTGTTCCAGAAGAGCACCCCGTCTCTGCCTCAACACTAATGATATGTGGGTAAGGAACAGGAATGCTTCTGCCACCAGGCCCAGTGACTTACAGGCAGGAACCTTGGATAAAGATGGGAAGGGACACTGCCTGATATGCATGTTGAAGGATCCTGTGGATGACTGGCAATCTACGAAGCAACACTAGATCCGTGGGCTAACAGATACACAGACATCTTTTTTCTTTTCTTTTTTTAAATCTGAGAAGGCGATTAAAGAATAAAGAAAAGAACAAAAAATAATGTCTCATACTAAAATAAGAAATCAGCCCCATCTTGGCACAGTTCTCATGCAAAATATTGCACCCAGTGTTAACTAACGCTAGAAGCTTCAAACGGTATAAATTTAAATGTATTTGCATATTATAAAAATAAAGATAAACATATACATAGTTTACACTAGTTACGGAACAGCAATGAATGTCAGTTGATTCCTCTTTCACATTGAACATAACTGAAACCCGAGTGCTCTAAATACTAGCACTGTACTGTAACTATGGCTTATATGTGCACGGAAAACAAAATCCCTGAGAAGCCATTCGAACTTTTTTTTTTTTTTTTCTTTTCTTCAAGTAGCGCTCTCCTTGGAGGATCACAGTTCTGATGTTCCGGTTGTGAAACTTTAGCTCCATGCCCTCTCTGTCCTTCCTCAGCCCCCTCCACACCTCTGTGGTGGTCCTCTGGAAGCACCCTGAGCTGGTCTTCACTCCAGTGCCTAGCCTGTGCTTGGAGGTGCAGAGGGTTCCCAGGTGAGTTGTGATGCTCTATTTTCTCCATGGAAATCCCACAGTCCACAAGTCACTGGTTTCTGTGCTTTTCACCAACGTTCTTCTTGGAACAGGGGCTGATCACAGTCGGTGTAGGTGGGTAAACCAAGGCAACATTCACTTGCTCACTGCCGATCTTGGGGCAAATGATTTCTGCCACTCCTTCTGGTCTGGGCTGGCTCAGCAATTCCCCTGGGAAAGCGTGTGGATTGGGCGACCCCCTCTTAAGGCACTTAGAACAGAGGATGTGCACAGTGTAGTGCAGTCCAGGCCATTCCTGAAGTAGGACATTCAGTTCCTCTACCAAGGGGGTGATGGCTTGCCACGCAGTCCATATATTTGGTAATGATGCTTGGCTGGCAATGGACAGGGTATCTGGCTGCAGGACCCCCTTGGCAGGTCTGTAACTCACCACCACAGGAACTTTTCCTCTATATGCAAAGATCTGAAATTTACCATCTGACCTGTGCACCACATGGCTGTTGATCTGGACACTGTAGCGTGCAAACAACCCAGGTGGAAAGGTAAAGGGAAAACTATATTCAATCTGCAGCTGCTCAGCCACAAAAGACTGCCCCACTAGGTTGGTCCCATTATTCCATGTCTCTGCATGGGACACCTCGTTCTGCACATAGCATGGGAACTTGTACCAAGCTGTAGACCCATTTAAAGGCTTGCCCTTAGGTTTATTGAGGCAGTAACAGAGTCCCATCTTCTCCAGCAGCTCCAGCAGCAGCTGCAAGTCCTGCTGAGCCTGGATATGAGGCTTAAGCAGCAACCGAATAACATGGGCTGGCAGGAGCCCATGCAGCAGAAAGCCCTCCACATAGTGATGGAGCTGGGTGGCCCAGAGCAGGTCCTGGCTCTGGGTGGGCAGCGACATCACTGGGGAGCTTTCCCCCTCCCCCTCACTCTCTCCACTGGTCCCTAGTAGCAGTTTATGCAGCAGCAAGGAAGCATCCCGCTGGAAAAAGACATTGAGGATGTCAATGAGGCAGGTGAGGTTGTGGAAGACATGCTCCCTGAGGGCCGGGCTATTCGGTCCTCAGTCAGCCCTGCCTGGAGGCCCAGGCGTGCAGAGTCCCACCAGCTTAGCCAAAATCGTTGTGCCTGTGGTGGTTGGAAATGCAGTTCCTCCAGCACCTGCCAGGATCCAGGCAGGACTCTATGTAAGTTGGGGAAGATTTCTCGGTGCTCAGCTACAGAAATCAGCTTGTCTCGAAGGCGCTACAATTGTCAGGGGTCCCTGCAGCTAACAGGCAATACCGGAGAGAGGATCTGCAGCCGGTGGTTGAGCAGGTATTGAAAATGGGCCTTGCGTCGCCGAAGGTTCTTGTCAGAAACACCATAGTAGGCTACATGGGGGCTGGCAGAGCGCAGCTCGAAGTCCCGGGCCAAGGCCTCATCAACCACCTGGGCTAGACGGCTCAGGCCCTAGGCATCGTGCTTCTCCTGCAGGGCAATCTGGCGGTGAATATCCAGACACTTCTCCTCCAGCTCCTGCTCCTCACATAGGTCTGCATGCGTGCCCACAATGCACATCACAGCATGAGGTACCCGGGCCCCGACCCGATGCAAGAAGGAGTCCACAGTACTGGGAAAGCAGCATGGTTCATAGGTGGCCAAGTTGACTACCAGCACATACAGGGCTCCCAGGGAGAGGAAGAAGGGCTGAATCACCTCATAGCTTTCATCACCAGCTAAATCATACACGATGAACCTCAGACCCCTGGAGGCATCAGCTGTCCAGCTGGTCACCTCAATACCCTTGCTACTGGCAGGAGGGGAAAGTGAGTAGTTCTTCTGTTTGTCCCTTCCTGCATGGCTTCCCTCCACTACCTCCTCGGTGAGGCAGTGTCGGAGCCAGGTCTTTCCTGCAGCCTTATGCCCCATCAGGAGCAGCTTGAGACGGGGCTGAACAGCTGGCTGGGAATGAGCCAGCTCCTTCTGGTAGGCCGCGATGTAGGGGATCCCCTTCATGCAGACCTCGTAAGGGGGCTGTATCAGTGGGTTGTCCTTGATCTTCCACAATCCCACATGGGAGAGCTGGCCAAAGTTGTCAGGAAGCACCGCGATCTGGTTCCCTTGTAGCACCAGCTCCTCCAGGCGGGTCAGTTCCACAATGGAATCGGGCAGGTATCCAGCCACAGAGTGAGAAGCCTTCCCAGCCCCGAGATAAGGGATGGTACTGAGGTGAGCTGATTGCGACTAAGGTAAACCTCCTCTAGACCAGCCAGGGGCAGCAGCGGTGCAGGGAATTCCTCAAAGTGGTTGGAAGAGAGATTGAGCATTTTGAGTCTTTGCAGCTGGCTGAACTGGGTGGGCAGATCCTGCAGCCCATTGTTGTCTAGCATGAGGCTCTCCAAACTGGTCAGCTCGCAGAAGCCGATGGGCAGAGTGCCAAGCTCGGCCCCACTCAGCCAGAGGATCTTGAGGGCACGCAGGGCACTGATATCATCAGGTAGGCCTTTCAGCCAGTTGCTGGACACGTCCAGTTCCTCCAGGGTCGCCAGTTGCAGCAGCTGCCGGGGAAAGGCAGTGAGCTGATGTGGTCCACATCGAGGGTGCGCAGGCGGTAGAGGCAAGAGAGTGAGTCGGGCAGGTGCGCCAGTCGGTTGAAGCTAACACCCAGCTCCTCCAGGTGGGCAAGGACGCCCAGCTGGGAGGGCAGAGCAGGCAGCTGGTTATGGCTGAGGTTCAGCTTGTGCAGCTCCCTTAGGGCACTCACCACCTTCGCGCCCAGGGCTGTCAGCCGATTGTGGCTCAAGTCCAGTTCCGTGAGATGGTGGCCAAGCTCAGCCACCGCAGTGGGCAGCCGGGCAAAGTGGTTCCTGCGCAGGACCAGGACGCGTAGGCTGCCAAGCGCCGACCCCAGCCCTTCAGGCACCTCCTCCAGGCCGTTGTTCCCCAGGTTCAGCACCTCGATGTCCCCGATAGGGACAGAAACCCTCACGCGGGCGCGGGAGCCCGCAGCTGCATGCGGTGCTGCACTCGGGCCGGCGCCTGTCTCCCGGGCCCTCTTGCTCCCACTCCTCCCTTGCCTCCGCCCCTCGGTGGCCAGTGGCTATGGGTCCTAGTGCAGCTAGCGGCTCAGCGCCCGCAGCTGAGGGGCGGGGGCCACCGGAGCAGCTCTGGGGGGCGCTGAGCACGCGGCGTGGGGGGAGGTGGAGGCCGGTGCGGAGTGTAGCTCGCATTTTCCGCCACCCGCCACACCGTGGAGGATGCCTGCTTCTCCTTCCGCTCCGCCCGCCTTGCGGCGCCCGGGTGCCCAACTCCAGCCCCGCTACCCTTGCAGCCGCAGCCCCGGGCCGGCAGCGTTGTCGCCTCCAGGAGCTCTGGGAGGAGAGCGGCGCTCAGCTCCGAGGCGGGCATGCTGCGGGCGCAGGGCCGGGGAGCAGCCGCGAGGAGGGGGCGGCGGCGCCTTCTTGTCTCCGCTTCCCTGGGGCTCCGGCAGGAGCGCGAGCGCGTCCTAAATTTTAGATTTTGACCTAAAAATTGAATATAATTCTGGAAGAAGTGGCACATGCCTGAAATCTCAGCAACTAGGGAAGTTGAAGCAAGAGTATCGTAAGTTCAAAGAGAGCCTGGGCAACTTACTGAGACCCTGTACCAAGATAAAAATTTTATATATATGTATATGTCAGGGCTAGGGGTGTAGCTTAGTGGAAACTAAACCCTAGGTTAAATCCTTAGTACCACACACATACAAAAAAAATTGTATATAAAACAAACAAACAAAAATATCTGAAGCTAGCTTTTTTTAAAAAAACTACTGTATTATTATGTCTTCTAGAAAGAAACAAAAATCAAAATAAGAATAAAAAAAGCCAATGAATGTTGTTTAACAATTTTTGCTAGAGCCCTTTCAGTATGTATCATAAAATATTTTGGCCAAATATGGAATGACCTTTTAAATTAATATTAATCTGTTATCACACATCTTGATATTATGTTAATAAAAGTAGATAAACAAATTCTTGTGTTTTTGCTTAACCAGACAATAAATAAAATTATATGTAAAAATTCCTAACCACAAGCAAGCACAGAACTATAATGATAGGTATTATTGCCTTCAAAGATACAACTTCCTAAGATAAAATATCTTTTTATGTAATATTGTACATAATACTGGGTGAAATGGAGACAATTAAACATATGGTGTGCCTGAGACAGATCAAAATTGTGTTAAATATCCAGAAACACAGTCATAAAACAGTGTACTTATTTAAAGAAAATCTATATCACAATAATTACAATATAATGTATGATTTCCTAGTATTTATTTCTGGGAAATTAAAATATGGAACAAATTATCAACTATATGAAATAGTTTAATTTAACTTTTATCTACTCTTTTAATTATCCTTATGCAGTTTAGTCACATTATTTCTACATATCATATATCAAACTGTATTCATTGCATTTATATTACTACTGGTGTGGCAGGGAGCTTCTCACATGGCCCACACAAGTCAGAACCTCCTAGCAAACAGCCCTTTTGCAAATCCCTAGCCCTTAAATGTGAGTGGGACCTGAGCATGCTTGTAGCCTATGAAACACTACAAAAGTGACTGCATGTCAGTGCTGTCACTTTTCAGAAGGCAAGTCACCATAGTGGGGAGACCCACATGGCAGTGAACTAAGGGCTTCAGCAAACAAGCAGTCAGGAGCTGAGGCTCTGAATCTAACAACCCTGTGGAAATTGAATCTTATCAATAATAACACATACATGGAAAGGGATCCTCTCCAAGTTGGGCTCTCTGTGCTCAAGACTGAAAGCCAATTGCAGAAATTGTGAAAACAAAAATATGTGTGGTACATTAAACTGCTAAATTTGTGATAATTTATTATACCACAATATATAATACACATAGAGTATTAATAACACAATTCTTTGAGATTTGAATAATAAATTTATTGATTTGTCAAATATTAAAACAAAATAATATCAAAATGCTTAAATGACACAATTTTTCTAGTTATTTTTTCCTGTTATTAAATTTGAATTTACTTAAGTACAAATTAAATGCAATAAAATTTGTTCTTTTTCCAGTGGTATGGATTCAGTGTATTTGGGCAGTGTATATAGTTGTATGTATACAACACAACTAAGATGTATCACATTTTGATGATCTCTAGTTTCCCTTGTGGGGAAATTATTTTCTCCTTAACTGAATATTTCCTATCCTTTCATTTTGTCCTGTTTTAGGATACATTTTACATCAAATCTTATAGGATATAACCTTTATTTATGTCTTGTTTAGATTTTTAAAAAACTTTTTGAGAGTCATCATTATTTTTAATGGTAAATAATTCATTTTATTGCTAAGCAATACTGTTCTGTATGAATAGACCAAAATTTCTTTGCAGACATCTGAGTCTTTCTAGGATTTGCTAAGTGAATTCAATTGCTGTCAACATTCATGTACACATATAAATTGTTAATTTTTATGTTATTTTTTTCTTGTGAAAAGACTTAAAGAGGGAGATTGTTGGATCATATAGTAAGGGCATGCTTAACTTTATAAGAAATTGTCAGCTCAGCCTCCAACTGAGTGTCCTGTATGGGATTTAGCTTGGATTTAGCTTTGCAGAGGACTCAAAAAAGTCACTTCCAGACTCCTGACCCACAAAAAGCTGTAAGATAATTACTGTGGCATGTTGCTTTGAGCTGCAGAATTTGTGGTTGTTTGATGTGCAACATAAAAGTGGAATACCGCAGTCCATAATTGACCTGTCTTTGCTGTTACTGTTGCTGTCATTTTCCTCTGTACAACACAGTCTGCAGATTCTACCAATGGTGTGCTGTTCTTCTCTAGGTGATCTTTTTGTTTCTGATCTACCTCAACTTTCACCTGACCCTACATATATGTGTGCCAATGGGAAGGCCTCTGAGCCTCTGGACCTCTAAGTTGTGGATGTGCCAGTTTTTCTGTCCCTAGTGAGATGGTAGAAACCAACCTGTGTCTTGTATCTATAGCAAACCTTGGACAGGAAACCGTTTTCTGCCCTCTGCCCATGGTAGGAGACTAGTCTTTTATACCCAAAGATGTTTTCCAACTAGTTTTACAGGCCAGAAGTGCTGGCTGTGTACTTTCCCAGAAGCACCAGGTCTGAGAAAGTTCTCAGGATTGAACGGAAGGTTTCTACTCATCCTGGGGACAGGTAGACTTTGTTTCTATTTACATCAGCAGATCTGAGTAGGATGAGAAATTTGACTACTCCTATTGAAGGAATTCAAGACTTATGCTTTGTAAGAGAGAAAAACTTGAGAAGGTGTGCAGAATTTTATAATAGTGCTTCAATAGCTGCTGGTCATCTTGTTTTTGTCCATTCCTGTCATTAAGGGGGGTTCTATTCAGTTTCTTTTACTGTTCTTATGTTCATTATTATCACTTATTATAGACCTGTGAAGATGATTTGTGTTTGGGGGAGTGGGGACCGAACTCATCTGTTCTAGAGCTTCTAGTTAGTCTACTCTGATACCTTTATCAATATTCACTCTTTAGAAATTCATGAACATTTTTTCCTATCCTAACTTTATTCTCTTCTTTTTTTTTTGGGGGGGGTACAGTATTGGGGATTGAACTTAAGGGAACTCCACAACTGAGTCATATCCTCAGGCTTATTTTTTGTATCTTATGTGGAGACAGGGTCTCACTGAGTTGCTCAGCACCTTACTTTTACTGTGGCTGAGTTTGAATTTGAGATCCTCCTGCTTCAGACTCCCAAACTGCTAGTATTACAGGCATGCAACACTATGCCCATACTAACCTCATTTTCTTCTATGGAAACCTTTTTTTTCCTATACTCAAGCAAGGAGAAACTGATATGCATCATTTTTTGCCATCTCATGGAACCTTTGTTTCTTAGTTCCTTCCTGAACTCTGATCTAAGATAAGTTAAAGAAAAACATTATTGTGTAGAACCTCTGACAATTTTCATTGTTAATATAGGACTAGTCTTTTAGCTTTTTACATTCTAATAAAATCAGAACATCTGCTTTATTTCTAATATCTGTACTCTAGAGTTACAAGAGATAAATGAATCAATTAACTAAATAAATATTTTAATGTAATAAAATTTGCTTCATAAAGGATAACTGGTAATGTAGAATTTTTCTAAATGTGATCATTCACTTCAAATTAGTATTTCTAAATTCTTTGGATAAACTTCCTTTCAAAATGTCAACCTTTACTATTACGGAAGTTGTAAACAGTGAAATTCAGCTTTCTAAAACCAATTATATACAAAATCTCTCC